TAATAAGACATGATTGTAGCCCGCAAATTTTTGATTAAAATGAGACATCTCCCAGCTCTGCATGACCCTTCTTTGCAGAGTTATTTACAAGAAAAGTCCTAAATTAATTTCTTATTTCTGTAGCTTTGAGTTGACAATGAACAATTTAGGACTTTTCTTGTAAATTCTATAACTCTGCAAAGAAGGGTCATGCAGAGCTGGGAGATGTCTCATTTTAATCAAAAATTTGCGGGCTACAATCATGTCTTATTAAGAAAGGCTTTTGTTATCTTTTAGAGTTTTTGAAAAACTGGTTTTCTAGAAATTCACACAGAAGCTGATTGAAATATTTTGAAATATTCTTTGATGTTTAAAACTCAATTGAGCTGAGAACGACATTACTAGATCGGATGAGACTATAAAAATGAAGAATAGCATTACCGTGAAGCACAATATCTCAATTCGATTTCCTCTACGAATCCTATTATGTGTACAACTCTACATTTTTCTCGTATCAAAACTGAAAAAACTCAAGACGGTATATTGTATAAACGTTACTTATATCGTTTAAAGCGCTCAAATAAAAACGGAATTGCAAAATTAGTCTATACTCGTAATTCTTGTTCGTGTTCAATAACAATAAAAGATGATGTCATAAATGGTAGAATTATTTCAATGGAAACCTGAATTTAGAAGCTTATCAAGCAACATTATGATCATTAAGTTACCGTTATATAGTTGTGTTAGATAATGATTCTAATTTTAAAGATGATGATAAGTATCAACCTGAAGTATAACTGTCCTGTTTGTTGTATTCCTTCTAATGTAATATATTTGTGTGTCGACAGTAGCCAATAGTTTTCAATTACAGAGTGATTCAAAATTATAAACAACTATATGTGACAAGAACAAACTCTCTATTCCAAATTGAGACCACTTTTTAAATCTAATTAATAATCATAAAAAAAAGTGGTCTCAATCATGAAGCAGCCCGTATAGAGCCGAGACATTTTCATTTTGTAGAGAAATGTTTAATCTACTTAATTATCTAATTGCAATTTTAGATTAGTTTGTAGCTTTATTGCAATAGTTGTTTGAAAATGAGCGAAAAAAGGCGACCGTTAGCTGGACAAGTCGTAGATGAAAACATGTTCCTTATTGTCAGATCACGGGTTCGATTCCCGCACAGACTTCAAATGTAATCGACGATGCTGATCATTTTTCCGCAAAAATTTCGCAAGCAAATCTCTTCAGAAAAAAGCTCCAAAAATTTTTTTCTTCTTGAACATAGTAGTTTAAAAAAGAGCCTATGATTCTATATTGTGTATATCTGATGGCTGTTGTCGAATGAATAATAGTCCGAACTGGCTTAATCCCATACCGTACGTATATTCTTAGTGAATATGTGTATATTAATCGAACGGAAATAAGTGTTGAGAACCTCATACAAAACTCGAAGACGTCGTATTTTAAAAAGGAAACACTCTCGTTTACATTACATGTTAAGCAAATGTCAATAGATAATATATTCATTAACTTAAGATCGTGGACAACAAAACATGGATGCCGGATCATGCAAATGGAGGGGTATTCTCATTCATTTCAAAGAATTTCAAAGTCGGAAGTGGCCGTGTGAGAGTGAGTTGGCGATAAATTACAATAACAAACAAGAATATTCCCCATAATCCCCTTAAGTTGAAGCACGAGATAAATTGTCAACGTTTGCCTTCTCATCAATTAAACGAAAAATATTTACTCTTTAAAATAAGACGTCTTCCAGGTCTGTACGCTTTCTTGGAGGCGCTGTGATTTTTTTGGCAAAAAAAGTAACGCACTCACAAAAAAGTTGACCGTTAGACGGATAAGCTGTATAGTAACAGACACAAAACCTTAATTAAATTTGAACGCGATATTTGAAACATTCTGGAGAGTTTGGAACTAATATATGGGTGTAGCAGGACTATTCTAAAATACATTTTTGACTTCTGGTAGATTACTCTCAAGAGTTTTTTGTTTCTCTTTCGAAGTCGAATAGTTGAGATTGCGATCTATCGACTGATGAAAAGACATCTCCAACTCACTGTGAATAGACTAATTCTATGAGACTCGCAAAAAAGCTCCTAGCACATTTCAGAATAGCCTTAGTACACTCTGCCTCAATCCACAAACAAAAGACATAAATAATATAATTGAAGCGAAACCCTTTGTTAGATTTTAGCAAATCCCTAATAACTTTTAAAACAAACTTCAAACCCGAAAAAAATTAACTTCTTTTGCTGTTCATTAATGATCAGTTCAATGAAGGCCTTGTCGAAACTTTATTTTTAGTTGTATTGTTTTATGAATGAAGTTTTTCTTCTTTTACTTCTACTCTATGTGAAATTTGAATACGAATTCTTTAATCGTTGAATTATAATAAAAAAAACATAATTATGAACAACAATTATTTTTCGTTTCTTTTTGTTCTGTTTTATCTTAAAATAGACATTGAACAAGATATAACAAAAAGGATATGGTGTACAATATTTGAAACGTGTACAAAAGAAGAGTGAAGAAGTATCATATCAAAAGCGAAAAAAGAAACAACAAATGATGTTATTTAATAATCTATGCTCTATATGTATGAGTAACTTCAGAATGAAGAGAACACGAAACAAAAAGAAAAATTTATATTGAAACTAATGCTCTCCTATTGTTTATGTATCATCGAGAGAAATGAACCGATTGGTAATAGCTAATGTAAAGATAGAATCCATATTTTAAAATAGTTGAATAGTTTCAATGTATATATAATATTTTATTTGAAAAAAGACATTCTATGAACTCTCTGTTACATATATTGTAATATATAACGTAAAAAGATTTTTGTATATTCGGTCAGTGAATAAAAAAAAAGAAAATAGAATATGTTATATATATACAAGTCAACCATGTATATACAAGTTAGATGAAAAAGAATGAAGAAAAAATTTTCTTCTTTAATGTTACAAAATATTTCTTGTACATAGTGTAGTCATATGTCTTGAAATAAAACACTTATGTTCAACTATCTAAACGATATGTTCAATAGAATAGTAGAAAAAAAAAAGTTAAAAAGTATGTACATACTATGAGATTATCAAAATATACTTTTAAAACTATTACTAGAATTCATATTAGGACAGTTTTATTCTAATTTCTAATTAATCAATTTTATTATGTATAGTTTATTTTATCAAATATTTTTTTTTCAAATAATATCCATTTCATCCAGCAATATTTATTCATGTTTACATGATAATGATTTACAACGTTCTGGTTGTTATTGTAATATGAAGGAACAACATATTCAATGTTCATCATTACCATCAAAATGTTTAACATGTTATAAATATAATATTATCTATTTTGATGAACATGTTACACATATACCGGCTGAAGCATTTCGATACTATGATATATTTTCAAACGATGGTGTTAATACCAATGAATTTACTATTCAATTTTCATCATTAAATTATTTATCATCAAATAGTTTTAGTAGATTAGAAATTCCATCCTATTCAAAATTGTATGTAAAAATAGTTCAATTTAATGTTAATACAATACTTTCACATACATTTGATGATCTTGTACTAAAATCGTTTGGAATATTGGATATAGAAATATTTAATACAAATAATAAACAAAAACAACTGACATTTGATGGTTACTCTCTAGACGGTATCAAATATTCGAATAATAGTCAGTTTTATCTAACATTTTTGAATATCTACAATGATATCAGATTTCAATCAAATACAGGTAGAATATATATCTTATTTTATTAAAATGTCTCCCCTCCTTTTTGAGTGATGCGTCCAAGGCGTTCAAACACGAATTCACAGATGGCGCTTTCCCGTGCGAATTGTACTTCGGTGCAGTTAACCGATACTTCAAGCACTGTGTAAACATACCAAATCTGCGAAGTGTGTCGAGAAGCGAATTGCATTCAGAAACTATTGAACGTTTTTTTATGTTTCAACAGTTTGCATTTCCGAAGTGATCGCGAATTGTACATTGTTGAAAGCATACTCACTAATGTGCAGACACGAATTCGGCAAAATTGTCTGACTTTTTTAAACGTCAATTCAACAATGGTGGCAATGTGCCCTTTTGCACATTGTTAGTGCCAAAGGTACAACAACAACGTGCAAGATTGAATTCGTCAAACTATTCAAATTCTTCAGCAAACTAAAAAAATTGAATTGTCAATTCGGAGCTATGTAACAATGTGCATTTTTGAATCAGTGACTGTCGAAAACGAATTTCGCAAGCGCCTAGATCTGAACGTATATGAATATCGAAAATTTTTTCGATCCAGGTGTTCAAATCTGCAAATTCCTACCACCCTCCACATCGCAGTTAATTCGTAGAGAAATTGTGAGAGTTCGGAGGAGAATAGCTGCGATAAATATCGAAAATCAGTAAAGGTTTTCCTACGACTCTAAAAATCTCAAAATTGCGTGCACTTTGCACATTGCAGTTAATCTGTATTAACTTGTTGAAATTCGTCCATGAGTGCGTATGATAAATAGCGGAAGTCGCGACTGGCTTCCTTCCCACTCTAAAAATTGGCACATTGCTTGCACTTTGCACATTGCGGTCAGTTCGTATACAAATTCTGAGAGTTAGGAGGAGAATAGCCATGATAAATATCTAAGGTCGGAAAAGGTTTCCCTACGGCTCTGAAAATCTGAAAATTACTTGCACATTGCACATTGCACATTGCACATTGCAGTTAATTCGTATTAAATTGTGCGAATTCGTAGATGAGTACGTATGATAAATAGCGAAAACGAAGTCAGGTTCACTACCGCTCATGTTAAAGATAAAAACGAATTCGCAGTTTGCACATACGAATTGAATGCAATGTACAAAGTGCACGTAATCTGCAGATTTTTTGACTTAGAAGAAAGATATTTTCCCTTTTGATCTACTTTAACAGCAACGAAGTTGCAAATTCTCAGATTTTGCATACGAATTGTTTGCGAAGTGCAAAGAGCGAGCAATTTGCAGATTTTTCGCCATAGGGATGAAAGGTTTTGAAATTTTGATAGTCAGCATAGCTCTAATCTGGTATAATAATCTGATTAACACGCTTTCTGAGAATTCACGCATCCACAGCGAAGTGCATTTGCGAATTAGCTGACTCCTCAACCAGTTGTGTTTTCGAATTCGTAAAACGCTGAGAATTTTCAGCAGCATCTAATATTGCAATTCCTGCTATTCGTCCACGCTCAGCAAGGTGCATTTACGAATTGTTTAATTCTATTATACATTTTGCATTTGCGAATCCTTCGAACATGAAAATTAGTGAGTACTATAAAACTTGGATCTAGCAATGTGCATTTGCGAAATTCGTAAAATGCCCTTAACAGTGTAGTGTGCATTTGCGAAATGAACGAATTAAACGAAGTGAAGTGTTTCATTTTTATGGTATAAAAATTTCAAATCAACAGTTTGCACGGTACAAAGTGCATTTCGTTTCTGAACGCCTTGGCCGCACAATTGTCCTTTTTCATCCTACCGTTAATGCTAGAAGCAAAGATCTAACTGAACTCAAATTTTGACTACAGATACTTTAGATACTATCTCAAGTTTTCATCTATTTTCGAGATTTTTTGTAGATCTCGAAAAAACAAAAGTCTATTTTTTGAAAAAAAATCAGAATCTGAGATAGTGTCTGAAGTGAGCGAAGGTTTACTCTTCAAGTACATATCTATCTTTTCGTTTAGGTTCCATTATTTTACCCAGTAATTCTCATATGAAGGTTGAATTTGTTAATTTCCAAAACGTTTATTTTTCCGATAAAAGTTTTGATCATATTATTCAAGAACGCTATAGTAAATTTAGTTTAATATTTAATAAATTTCAACATGCTCATATAGGTTCAAATACATTTTATGATATGAAACAATTAGAATATGCAAATTTTTATTTAAATTTTGCTAATTATTTAACAATGTCCATCGATGAATCAATATTTGGAACTCTTACACAATGTAAGCGAAAGGAGGTATACATTTATTTTATAAGACCCATTACCATCCATTTCACTGTTTCTTATTTTGTTTTCTAATGTTGAAATATGAGAAATATATTTTCTTCTCTGTTCTAGTGCAATCGACAGTTATAATAAGTATTTTTAATATTTCAAATGATATATGTTTTCCATCATTAACATTTAGTTGTCTATCACAAGATATCAATTCAACATTTCAACTTCAAGTAACGTATGGAAAAAATATTTTATTTTCAAAAGAATCTTTTGTCAATATAACTCAACGTTATAAATCAACATTATCTCTACTAATATCAAATTGTACAGATATTTATTTGTCAAAATATTCAATTGTTAATTTTCATCAACAAGATCAATGTCTAATTGATATCTGGATAAAATATTCAAAAAATTTAATATTTGATGATTATTCAATAAAAAATATTGACATATTTAAATCAAGTATATTGAGAATTGGTTTTCAATATTCAACAGGAACGTTACAAATAGCATCAAATGCATTTACAAACATTAACGAAGGTATGATTATGTACATATATACAGTCCTGTGATATAAATTATAGAAACGATCTACTTTTAAATTCGTCGAAACGACAATCTGTCGATTCGGCAAATTATCCTTCGGCAAAGTTTTTTTCTACGAAATATTTTTCGACATTCCGCCAATTATCTGTTCCGCCAAGTGCTTGCCGACCAACGGCTGCTTTTTCAGGAAAATAAATGGGTAAAGTGATTTCAATAGCTGAAAGAGCTTTCCATCATGAGTGATATGTAGGAAAGTTTTGTTAAAATTTGCTGATATATAAAATCTAGAAAATTAGAATTCTTAGATACTAAGTCACTGAATCCGATCGGAAACTTTTTGTCCACAATTCCGTCGTGTAGAATAAATTTTTCTGGACAAGATGTGACGTCTCTGAGCTGTGTACAACGTTCTTACTTTAAACTGCATTCATTTCACAAAGGTTTCAACAGCATCTTTCTTTTGTCGTTGATGTTGCTGGTTTTGACGCGCTGGGTTCTTCCGTATAGTAGATGCAGTTTAACGTAATAACGTCGTGCACACCTCAGAGACGTCACATCTTGTCCAGAAAAGTTTATTCTACACGATGGAATTGTGAACAAAAAGTTTCCGACTGGACCCAGTGGCATAGTATTCAAGAATTCTAATTTTCTAGATTTTACATGTCAGCAAATTTTAATTAAACTTTCGTACCAGATGTGCACAGAACAATACAGAAAAAAAGGTTTTGTCCTGCTGTTTCTTGTGCTAAAAATAAGACAGTTTTATAACGCATTTAAAAGAGAAACGTTAGATAGCGTTGATGGAGTCCAATGGTAGTTTCCTATTGTTCAGACGTTAACCTTAATAGAAATAACTCAAAAGAGAGTTCGATAAACAAATAAACAACAGCAAGTGATTTCTTATTGACGTCTTTTTTATTTCTAACTTTAGCATAAATAAAGATATAGACAATAGCTTTTGTACATGGTTTCTTTTCTTTATTGAGAAGCCGAAGCTTAGCTTTCTGTTTGTGTTTTCCTGAAGCCTGGACACTAAGTTTGGTGGACACTTAAGTTTCCCCTTAAGTGCGTTTCTCAAAAAAACTTAAGTTAACAGAGGTCATGCAGTAAAAACCACTTATATTTTAACAAATTTAGATTATTTTGATGAAATTTTTTTGAACAAAATTCTCCTAAAATTACTTTCTGTCTAATTACTGTAGATCTGACTACGAAAAAACGTAAAATAAAGAAGTTACAAGGTATGAATAATTTCTCAATTAAAAAATTATGTGAAAACTTAAGCGCGGTCCAGAGATCCCTTAAGTTAAGATGTTTTCGAGAAACTCACTTTGCAAAAAAGTCTTACTTAAGCCAAATTTTTCACTTAAGCAAAACGTAAGTTTGGCTCCTGCTTGTTTCTCTCTGTACCTTCATTTCAGACAGGACAGGACCGCACAAGTCAGGGCAGGACAGATCGAAATAAATAAGTACCCTATGCACACCTCTGTTTCGTACACATCACTCATGATTGAAAACTCTTTCGGCCATTGAAATCACTTTATCGATTCCTTTTGCTTATTACGACCAAGCAAGAAAACGTTAAAAATAGATCGTTTGTATAATTTCTCACCAGAATATAGATTTTCTGTACGCACTCGGATGAAATTGATGTTCGGATAAACCCACTGACTGGTCTTGTAAGAATTTTTACGAAGTATAATGTTTTTGAAATTCTATTATTTTGTTTTTTAATCACTCATTGTAGGTTATGGTGGTGAATTATTATTTCAAATAATGGAATCAAATGATTTTTATATTCGTTTTAATAGATCTGCTTTATCCTCGTTAGAACGTTTAGAAATTATTGATCGTGAATTGTCTGTAAATGATTTTTGTCGTATTATTGATATTCCAGAACATTTTCCAGTAAAATTATTAGAACAAAATCAATGTTCATGTACCGTATATTATTTGTATCGTCGACAACGAAAAATATTGAATACGTCAAAATTAAAAAGATTAGTTCCTCTCTGTTATTTTGAATATAGTCAAGAACAACTAGAAAAATTTGAGATAGAATGTAATTTTATAAAACATGTATTACAATGTCGAGAAATGCTAGATAGATTACAAATACATATACCAGAAGAGAAAACATGTTCGGTTAAAGAACAACAACAAAAATTATCAAAAACTATCTCATTGATATCATCGACAAAAGTAAAAAATTCTTCATATATTATTGTAGCAATTGTGATTGGATGTTTTAGTTTTGGATTACTATTTTTATATGTTATTTTGAATAGTTTATACTTCGAACGAATTAAACTACATTTTTACCATTTTGTTCGTTATCGTTCATTTAAATCAGAATATTGTTCTACTCAAACTCGCTATTGTTCTAATTCATATGTGAAACTGACTGATGATATGAAGATGTCGGATGCTACGGAAAATGATTTAGTTTATCGGCTCGAATCATCGCCATCATCATCCCAACAACAAAGACCGATGAAAGTTGTTGTCAAATACAATTCGAAAACAGAAATAACGTTACCACACATTAAAAAGTCTGATTTTTTGTGCAAAAAAACGAATGTTGCAAGTGAGGAGGAAGAAGAAGAAAACATTGTCAAATTAAATTCAAATCCCTTGGATGAACTAGAAGATAATTAGTGTTATATTCATATATTTGGGTTTAAATGTGTGATTCCATATAGAAATTGTGTTTAAATAAAGTGAATTACTTGTTGCTATTAAATATATCGATTTGAGAAAAATCCATTAGGTAAAATTGAAATTTTACTATGAAAATGGGTTTAACACTACTGTAGCACAATGAGGAAAAGATGACAGGAGCCCAATCTCTACCAGTTCGGATGTCTTCGAGGTATTCTGTGAATTTTGCTAATGGAATACTGCTAAATGTTGAAAATGACGACAGATCGTAATATCGTTCACGTTTCGGTCTTCTCAAATCTCTAAATACCAGAATCGCAGAGACTAGAGACAATTAGTGCCGCTGATCAATAAAAAAACGATGTAGTATCTGCGTTTCGAACTCACACTTGCTCTGAATCGCTTTCTCATGTTTGATTGTCGCATCTTTTATTATAAATCTTTCAACAAATCACTTAAAAAATATCTGAATACGTAACATTAATTTTGCTGAGCTTTCATTTTGTACATCAATCGTGTTGCTGTGTGGTTTGACCACAATTTGTTCTCTCTTTTATTTTATTTCTTAAGTTAAATTTTGTTCTTTTCTTTTCTCTCTGTTATATTCTGCAAAGGTGTTACAGTTTTAACTGTACGCTTATTTATAATATCTTACTGTAGTTGTTCACTAAATAAAGATTGATTGAGTTTTTTTAATAAAAAACATGAATCAAAAGAGCTGGAGAGCTGCGGTTTCTAGTTCCTGAAAATAGACATCAAAGAGGATCGATCTATGGAAAAATCGATTTCTAAGTACTACCAACAGATGGTGTATTTAAGCAATCTTTTTTGAGGAGGTAGTCAGACTCTAAGCGTCTCAAAGTGACCTGCTTTTATATATACATCACATGAAGCAATACCTACTCTATTTACTCCTGAAAATCAGAGACCTCCATCTATCATCATCCAGACGAGGAACTGGTTTACACCCGGATTTTTTGATCTTTAGATCGAAAAATCGTGAAAATATACAGAAACTCAAGTTATCCACCATGCTGAATCTGATGGCAATGTCTGTTATTAGAAAAAACGTCCAAAAAGCTGATAAAAACTGAGTTTATAGAAATTAGTTTTCAGGTTATTGTCATTAAAAATAAAAAAGTTTGTAAATCATTCAGGAAATACTAGAACGATAAATCCGTCAATACGTATAGCAATTCTAGTGTTCTTGTGGAGAAGTTTTATTGAACGCATAATTTTCTCCTCCTATCCATACGTCAAATAAAACTAGCTATTGGATCGAATAATTATGTGAACGTTTATGATTTATGGACAAAAGAAATATAAATAACCATTATCAAATAGGATTACTCTCGTTTCGTCCCGTATTTTTTAATCAGCTCTTGTTTCGTCCCGTCTCATTTCGTCGCTTTTATTTTGTGTCATTCTACTTATTTTATAACTATCCATTTTTTTCTATCAACTGCATATTTTTTTCAATTTTAATATAATTAATTAAGATAATGTAAGAAGCGGATACATGACATATTGATTAGTTCATGATGGAATTTAACTGTTGAACGAAAAAACTTTTGCAAAAAACAATGACAAGGATCTGACGATTTGACCATTCATTTCATAAATTGAACTATCATATGCCTTCATGGCACCATTTAATATTAATTTATATACTCATTCAACATGCTTTCATGTACTAAAAATAATGTTTTATATACAAACGAAAGGTTATACAGAATCATTCACACAAACAGTCAAACGGAAGAAAGTCTACGACAATTGTGATAATAAACTGAAGGAATATTTTAAAAGATATGAAAACTGTCCGGAACTGAACTTACAATTAAATGTGGCAAATGTCTTAAATTCTAGTCTTTTATTGTTTTAGATAGAATAGACGAATTGATAAGCTTTTACTTTTGAATTATCAACGTATTAATATGCCATGCATCCTCTTTTTACATTACCTTAATTAATTATATTAAATATAGAAAAAAATGGATAGTTATAAAATAAGTAGACAGAAAATAAAAGGGACGAAATGAGACGGGACGAAACAAGAGCTAATTAAAAAATACGGAACGAAACAAGAGGATCCTGTTTTATAATACAATCCTTCTACTGATAGAAGTTAGAACAGATACAGCAAAGCAATGATAAGAAATTTTATTATTGAAAGTTGAAACAGAGTAAGAGTTTTTAATTATCTGTGATATATTATTATAACTTGATTCATTTGTCTGACTACAAAAACATCGTATCTACTACACATGATTAACTTATTTAGCTTTAGAATTTGAACTAATAATAACTTTTTTGTCTATTAACTGTAACTTTTGTATAGCTATAATTTTGAGTTGTGTCGAATCATGATGTGCTTTACATTATAACTTAAAAGAACAAAGCGATTAATAATGAACATCATCGTTGAGAAAATTATAAGTCAATTTCTAGTTCAACAGTCTAACTGTCATTTCGAAGCCGTATTTCAATTTTCATTGAGTCATCATTACTTTAGATTGTCAGTAATAACTCTCATTTTTTTGAAGCTGTGTCGTCTTTTTTTAACTTTATTCTTCTCTTCTTTCTTTTGAAGAATATTCTTGTCAGTTTTCTTTCTCCTTTTTCCCTTGACATTATTCCATCATTATTTATTCTATTCTCGATCTCTTCGAAAAACAATACGTATATAATCATTTCCTATAACTTTTAATATAGAATAGTGCAACAAACATCAACAACAACAAATAAAAACTGAAAAGAAAAAAACGAGAGTAATACGCATATACCACGAGTAATAAAACAACAGCAACAATTCGAATTACGATAGTGGAACCCAAATAAAACATATTTACGTATACACACGCACACACAAAATAATAATAATACGGCATTCTACTAAATTTTCAAATTTTCAGATCTCTATGTGAATGTCAGATCGTCATAGGACTAGTGTATAATGCTCAATGTAGCTTGTATAGTTGTCATTTAAACTGATCCATAATTATTTTTTAAATCTCTTAATAATGTAATGGCTAATATAAAACCAATAATTTCGATAAAAAAGAAAAATATAGCAACACCACCTAATGCTGCGCTATAACGATAAAATAACTTCCTTGCTGCCTCATAACAACCAGTTGTATAAATATTATTATCAGGAGTACAAACATGCTCTTTACAACATGATAGTGGTAGATTTTTTGGTGGCGAGGTTGCATTCCAATCGCTCTTACTATTAGTACCACAGCATTCATAAGTACTTTGAACACGATCCCATTCTATTGTTACACGCTCATTTTTATCATATTGTTTCATACTGGTAATTAATTGTGCTCGTAATCGCTCATCAGCTTTATTACGTAATGTAAATGCAACAATAGCGGCGATTAATTGAAGTAATAAAATAAGGCCCAATGAAACAATAAACACTAGAGATGAGAAGAAAAAGAGAAAATAAAAGATAACGGCAATACAAACGGTAAAATCAAAACTGTTATAAACATCAAAGAAGAAGAGAATTACTTCTTGTCAAAATTTGTTTTTCATTTCTTCATCAATTGACTTATTAAGATCACATTGAACTTTACAATAGAAACTGACTTTTTAATAAAAAATACATTGCATAATCCATGAAAAGGCTAACTATCTAAGAGCTAACTTAACGGAGATCTTTAATGACTTAGGAGGATATTCTTTTAGTCTATAGAACTTAAAAAAGATCAGAATGCATTCAAGAAAATGCAAATTGCTCTGTTGATAGTCTGCCTACCTATATCGACCATATTAGAAGCAACAAACATATTTGTTTTCATCCAACAAAAATAGCCACTGCTATCCTCCACTTTACCTGAACTTTTTACAAGTCATATACGCTAACTATTAAGATAATTCAAACTATTATACAAATGCATTTGTCAAAGTTAAAAAACAGTCCCCTATACCGTTGAAAGCTACTAACAAAGATTGACTTTGTGATGACGAAAGAAAAAAACATTTATACGAACATGTTAATAGTTTTAAATGATTTTTCCATGCACCAATAAAACCCACAATACATAATAGAAGAATAATAACTCCAAGAGCAATTATAAAACCTAAATAAGAAACAAAGGATTAGTGAATCGTTGTGGGAAACGATTTATAAAGAATCATTTAAGTCTAAAGAGGTCGAAGTTTTTGAATATATGTACCTGCTCCACCCATTAATGAATGACCAGTAATTTCAGCATATTGTTTAGCGTGACTATGAGCCACTGATCCAGTTATTAATAAACATAACCCGGCAATAAAATATAATACCAAAAATATTAAAAATAAAAGTTTATGAGCACGCATTTTGTTGAATTAAAAATGTTTAAAATAAAATTTACTATTTGATGATATATGAAATGATAACGGCTAATAAATCACGACGACAATTGTGTGTTACGTGGCTATCCTTCTCTAATATGTGTTATGTGATAGATTCTGAAAAAAATCGAAAATAAAAGAAAAATGGAATAGAAGAGAGAACGCTCGAATCGATTCCCCTTTGCGAATATGTGGGTGTCACGTTTTTCTGTTGCCTATATCTATTATGCAAGAAACGTACACAGCAAAATACAGAGTAGAGAAAAAATTGAATAAAAGGGAAAGAAGCTAAAATTTAAGCCTCTACGTATATGTGAGAAGCGGACAGATCGAATCACATACACACACTGTATGTATGTATGCGCACTTAAAGGAAATTGTTAATATTTTTTCTTTTTTCTCTTATCACACCACATAAATTTATAGGTCTAATGTCACTACGTTGTGTTTACGTTAGAATGTAAAACTTATTTTTCTACACATCTACGTACAATATGGTGATACATATCTCCACAGAGAAAGAATGTAGTCGCTAACGAAATATTGATGAAGAAGAATCTCGACTGAATCAACTCACGTTCACATTGTACATATTTTGGAATGACAGAGTGAAGAGAAGAAATTTTATCTAGGTGTGACTGATTTATCGATGTAGAGAGACACTAGAACAATAATGAATAAACGTATACAAGAAAACATACCGAAAAATGAACATGTGGCTATGCGAGTTCAACAAGATATACGTTGTCTACAATAGAGTTCCTTGCATCTCGGGACGAAAAATTTTAGATTTTCGCGGAATAAAAATTTCTTGTCGAGAAATCTTTGTCAAAAATCCGTCAGTTTACTCATTTTTAGACTCAACAAATGTAAAGACAGTTGATGAAAACTCTTTGTGTAATTGCGCAAAATTTTTGTTAACAAATGACACTGTCTGGGCGAAGACAAAGTTTCCTATCGAAGTACTTCGCTTTAGATTTTTATTTGGCAAAAACCGTTTTATTCTTGTATTCCTTTTTGTACGAAGTTGAACATTCTTGGAAAACACTTTCTTATTAATTTGTAAAACTCACATTGTAATAAATGTCATTTTTCTTCGGATAGGTTCACGTGCATTGTGCTAATAGTTACACGTTTTTTTCTCAAAAATTCTTAGAAGAAAAGCAGATAACATCATTTAGATATTTCGTTGATGCCAGTTCAATATTTAAGATAATTAGAAATCAACAAAAAAATTTAGTTTTTTGGAAATCAAGTTGGAAAAACTGTTCGACACAAAAATCAATGGAAAAAATTATTCTATAAAAACTTTCATTATACAGATTACGTCTCAATTAACTTACCATACGCATATAGATAAAAGTTAAATTTATAAGCAAAAAAAGAGAATTATTCTACTTCGTTTACCAGGAAAATTAGAACATTTTCCTGAAAGAGTTTAAAAAAGTCCTTTGTCATGCAAACAAATGATTAACAAAACTCGTGGCAAGAACGTCTGTCATATTTTGTCTCTGGAAAAAAGTATTATTACTACGTAAAACTAGTAAAAAAAAATTTCTGTAATAATAAAAGATGAAAAAAGACTAGAAATTACTACTACTTATGCCATTTTCATTTTCATACTTTTTCATTCTCCTGATGTTGGATAGAGGATAGGACGAACAAGAAGAAAAAAATTGAAAGCGTTTTAGTATCATACTGTCTATGCCACCATTAGCACCCCATCATGCATGGTGGGCTCGACAGTACAACAATATAACGAACAACAGTTGTCGTTTAGCTTATACATTCGAAAATCATAAACTATATACGAGTTTTAATATGTTTTCTATATAATAATGTTGATGATGATAGATTCTTAAAGAAAAGAATGGTGACATACTGAAAAAACACAAAAATATTATAAAGAAAAATATTCATCACGCGTAGATATAACGTCGTTTCATGGATAAAAGCACATATTCAATATATTCTTAGAAAAAGGAATCAAAATCTTTTAATGCTGTTTTTTTATTTTTAAATCTACCAACATGATTCTCGACTTACCCCAAACATCAAGTGAATTAATAATGAATTTTTTCGTCTAATGGTATTTCACAGTGGTATCACCATTTTGAAATATCTTACCTTTTTCTCATCTGACTACTCTCAAAAACACATATTTCACTCTTTAGACAGAAAACTTGTACTCATAAATACCAGTTTTTTTCCTTAAAAAAACAAGTCTCAATTTCATTAAATAAACTGTCCTCGGAACAACTAAATTTCTTATCACAAAATCAAAAAAAACAGAATCATATATTTTTGGTCGACTGAAGTAATAGTGACAGCTCATATAATATAGAGTAAAAAAACATTTTCTTTCTACAAATATTTATGTTTTTAAATCAGTTTTATCGAGCAAAAAAATTAGTATATATATACATGTATTATAATACTAGGACCAATGAGATAAAAAAAGAGCACCATACATTTTTTGATGACTTTTTTTTCTTGTTCTTCTGCAAATAGGATGACCATGAAATCAAAATTGAATATAACTACATGAATCTATTGTGTTTCTAATCCTTATTTCTTTCTCGTCGTTGTGTTATTTAATTCTTTTGATTAATCACTCAGTCGAATGTGCTTTTGCGATATAGATAAAGTTTTGTGGTACACACATACACATTTATTTTAAATATAGCATGGGAGTAAGGGTAGCTGTTGTTGTCCAACGCGTTACTATTAGAATATTTATTTTATCAAGCTTAGAGGGAATAGTGAATAATAAAAAAGAAAGAAATTTGATCGTTTTTTTCGTTGAGAATCACTTAGGAGCACAAACAACAAACAAAACATTAACTCAAGTGTCAGTCAGTAGTCTAATAAAATTTGTACGATAAACTTATCAAAAGAAAGCTCACAAGAACAGCTACTTAGATTCAATTATAAAGATCGATCAACGCATTCTCTCATCGAATCCTGTTTATATATTTAATGCTGAACAGAGAGCTTCGTTTTGTAAAACTGATCGTTAAATATAGTGAAATTGTTTTTATTTTTGGGGAATATTTCTGCGCTGGGTCGGGAAATTCATCAACTAGACCTAAAATATCAAAACGTTTTCCACGCAAAAGTGTCAACAATGAATTTTGAGTGTACCCAACTGATTATCTTTCGTCTAGTGAATGACCAATTGCTGAAACTTTATCAAGTTTTATTGATTCAGCAAAGTTATAGTAACTGATTAAAGTGCTGTTCTTCTAAGGGAAGAAATAAAAGCATATGACAAGGGACACCCATCGTTAGTGCCTAACGTAATTTTGAACATATATTTATCAAGGGTTATGAGTTACTGGTTAACTTCATGTTACACATTTGATGATTATAGAAATTTGATTCATGTGCATGATGATGTGAAATGTGTACTTTTTGATTAGTCTATAGTGAGGTTTACTTTCATGTGGTGTTTATTACTTAACATATGTGACAAAATTGTTGTCATCGTGGGTCAAAAAATGGAAGTTTAATATAGGCACGGCAATATTCTTATTTTGATTAGTTTGAAAGGAAACTGCAAAAATTATTTAACTTTAAGCTCTCCGCCCGGTCAGAAGTACCGATTTTCATCAAAAATATTGATTTTGACAAAAAACACTTCTTGTCTACTTCATAATGGCATAATTTTTGTGTCGATAGGATAGGTTATGAGTGGGATTTCCAGAACTCTTATCACAAAAAAGTGGATTTTTTTCAGGTCACAGTGCTGGCCTATGGCGCATGCATGTGCCGCACGTGTCTAGTAGATCCTCCATGACAGATAATTTTTGGAAAATATCAACAAACTATTTAGCGCTCAAATAGTTTTCTACTAAAACGCATTTATCAGACTCAAAACTTATTACTTATTTTAC